AGAAAGTCAGGGCTGAGTTACAGAGAGGTGCTGAACGCATAGGTCACAAAGGAAAAATGAAATACCATCCTAAGATACAGCCTAAGATTTTGTACAAATTGTTATAGAGATGAGCCAGTCTTGAGCTCTGGTTCAGTGTGAAGTTTTAACCCTCTCCATTACCTTCATAAGTCCCTCCGAAAATGAAAGTGGCACTGCTGGCGTCAGGTGTGCTGGCGGGGCTGTCACTGCAACAGGTGTGGCTGATGCGACAGCATGGTGTGTAGACAACATCTGCACCTGTGGATAGGGCCTTACCACGACAGGCTCTTGCTTCTCCTCCCGGGACTGGAGGGAGCTGCTGGAACTCATGTGCTCCCTGGCACCGACTTCAGAATCTCGACCAGATTCATCATTGACTAGTAAAGACATTAAACGTGAGACAGTATGTCACAGTCTCCCAATGTAAGATAGCGGCACAAACAAGAGTGGCACCTGAAGTTAAATCTCAGGATTGACCAAGTGGCCACTTCCTTGTGAGGTTTTCTTAACAGGGTCAATTTGGGCACTGGATTCTCCTGATGGACATCAGACAGAAGAGCCACAACTGTGGAATGTAGAATTCATTCTGGATATTGTAGCCTTATGAATAAACTACCTGAAAATCATCTAAAATGAGCTGAAATAGTTAAAAGTACAATACAGAGTATAAGACAATTTCATTTAAAATATCTTCTTAAAAAGTTATAAAAGCCTGACATTAAAAAGATATTTTATGCTGTGCTGGCCAACATGGCAAAACCCTAACTCTACTAAAAATACAAAAATATAAAAAACAAAAAAAAACACAAAAAAACACCTTTTTTTGTAATCCCAGCTACTTGGGAGGCTAAGGTGGGAGGATCGCCTGAGCCCAAAACGCAAAGGTTGCAGTGAGCCAAGATTGCGTCACTGCACTCTAGCCTGGGCGAGAGAGGAAGACTGTCTCCAAAAAAAAACAAAACAAAAAATGTATGGCTGGTGCACTGGCTCGCATCTGCAATCCTAGCATTTTGAGAGGCCAAGGCAAGCAGATCCTTTGAACCCAGGAGTTCAAGACCAGCCTTCGTAACACAGTAAGACTCCATCTCTGTAAAAAATATAAACATTAAATGGGCATGGAGGCACGCACCCATAATCCCAGCTACGCTGGAGGCAGAGGGAGGAGGATCACTTAACCCTGGGAGGTCAAGGCTGCAGTGAGTCAAGCCATGATTGTGCCACTGCACTCCAGCTTGGATGACACAGTGAGACTCTGTCTCAAAAAAAAAAAAAAAAAAAAAGGTGGTGGCGGTCTGGGCACGGCAGCTCACGCCTGTAATCCTAGTACTTTGGAAAGCCAAGATGGGTGGATCATTTGAGGTCAGGAGTTCCAGACCAGTCTGACCAACATGGTGAAACCCCGTCTCTACTAAAAATACAAAAAAATGAGCCAGGCGTGGTGGTACACACCTATAATCTTAGCTACTCGGGAAGATGAGGCAGGAGAATCGCTTGAACCCAGGAGATGGGAGGTTGCAGTGAGCCAAGATTGCGCCACTGCACTCCAGCCTGGGTAACAGAGTGAGACTCTGTCTCAAAAAAAGAAAAAATTAAAAAAAAGATATTTTAAGTACAGTTCCTAACTTTAAGAACATAGAGTTTTTCAAAACTTAAGGACAGAGATAGGAGACATATTTTCCACTGTATGCTCTTTTTCTTTTGGTGTTTTGGACTATCAGAAGACACAACATATTAAACTTTATTTTTTTAATTTTTTTTTTTCTTTTTTTTTTTAAGACGGAGTCTCGCTCTGTCGCCCAGGCCGGAGTGCAGTGGCCGGATCTCAGCTCACTGCAAGCTCCGCCTCCCGGGTTCACACCA